TCTGCATTAGAACTATAATTCTTTTAGGATCTCAAACAAGCACATCAAAAAAATATACTGACATGTAAAGACTTTCAAAATCCACATCTACAAAGGAAGTTAGTTACTTGAATAAGCAGTGGAAATGGGACTTTGTTATTACTATTATTGTTATAGACTATTCTGACTTATTAAATAAGCATTGGTCTCTAATTTTAAATGAGTCATAAAAACTCTTTATAACTAATTCCATTCAACAAAAGTGTATTAAGCTCCTGTTTAGACTAGGTGCTAAGGTAGATGCTAGGGATACAAACATGAAAAAGACAGTCTCTACCTGTAGGGCATTCCTGGCTTAGGAGGAAAGACAAATAAAAATAAGTTATCTACAATATTATATGACATCATCAGAGATATGTATGAAATGTTTTTGGAATCTTGCCAAGAGAGACTGATTCTGCAGAAAATTAGGGACAGACACAGGAGAGGTAATATTCAATCCAGGCCTGGAAGGATGAGTAGGAGGTTCACAGTTGGGCAATGGAGAGCAAATGGCACCCCAAAGAGAGAGACTGGCATGACCAATGGCATAGGAGTATGGACACAGATTCTGTTCTCTCAGAACAGCCAGTAGTAACCTGTTGTGGCCAGTCTTGGAGGTGAGGAAGGGCAGTGCCTGAAGATGAGGCCGGTAGGTTTCTAACTGGCAGGCCTTGAACCATGCCCATGAGTTTTTAGCTTGTTTCACAGGTGATTAAAACCCTATGTTTTTTAGGTGATTGATCTAATCATCTTTTAGGTATAGGTGATTAATCATGGAAGGTGCACAATGAGATATGTGTTTAAAAGCTAACTCTTGTGGTAGCATGGAGGAAGAACTTAAGAACAAACAGACAGAGTGTGGAAGACTAGTTGGAAGAATGTTCTTAACCTTTTTCTGGGGACAAGTCACTAGCTGACTCTGGATTTTTTGCCAGTTAAGTTTTCATATCCCTCAAGTCCTCTGGAAGCACATGAACAAATGTGCCTAGAGGCCTCCGAAGGTCACCTGCCTATCCCTGCTGATGCCCTAGCTTTCTCCTGAGCTTCTCTCAGACATTAAAGCCTAGATCTGATATCAGGGAGCCTCTGATCTCTGGCTGTTGGACTGACTGCTGAGCTATACTGACAGCTGGTACTTTTCTTTCTTAATGTTTTACAGGCCCCCTCACTACTCAGAGATCAGCACCCTGGTTTAGTGAACTAAATAGCAAAGGACAGGTATGGAAGAAGGAGAAATCAGTGGAACTGATTTAAAATGTCATATTCTCTCATTCTATTTCTCACTTTGTTTCCCACGGAATAGTCTAATTGACCTCCCCAGAAAAAATGCACATGTACCAAAAAATTTGTATATAGGAGGCTGAGGTGGGAGGATCACTTGAGGCCAGGAGTTTGAGGCCAGCCTGGGCAACAGAGCAAGACCCTGTCTCTAAAAAAATTTTTAGAAAAAATTAGCCATGGTGGCACACACCTATAGTTTCAGCTACTCAGGAGGCTGAGGTGGGAGGATTGCTTGAGCCCCGAGGTTTGAGGCTGCAGTGAGCTATGATTGCCCCACTGCAGTCCAGGCTGAGCAACAGAGTGAGACCCCATCTCTTAAAAAAAATTGCATACAATTTCAGAGAATTCTTAAATCCTTTGAGGTCCATCCATGGAATCCAAATTAAAACTCCTGAATGTGTTACTGAAATAATACAGGTAAGAGATTGGTATAAAAAGAGGCAACAGTCACAGGAAATAGTAGGAAAAGAAAGGAAGATGTGG